AAAAAAAAAAAAAAAAAAAAGAAAGAAAAAGAAAAAGATGAAGAAAAAGAAAGAAAAGGTGGGAGAAAATTAAAGAGCTGGACTGTAAAAATGGCTAAGGCTTTAAGATTTAAGTATCTAGGTAGAAGATCTTAGAGAAATATGTAAAATTTCTCCAAATGTAGAAGTATCAAAAAGCCAGGATGAAGTCAGTCCCCTCCACATTAACAGGAGACAACCAGCTCAATCCCACAAAAGGTCTGCTTCTTTCTTTGTAATGATTCCTTGAGATGCTGTTATTTGAATGTACCATAATTTATGTGCCCTATATGCCATGAGTGTCATTGGTTTCTAATATTTTGCATCATAAGCAATGCTGCAATCCACAGCTTTGTATATACTTGTGTATTCAAGTGCATCTATAGGATAAATTCAAAAAAATGAAATGACTGAGTTAAGGATACGTGAACTCATAATTTTTGTAGACAGTGCAAACTGCCCTCCAAAGAGGCTCTCCTCGGTCTCACCAACTTTGTATCACATTTTTTGATGTTTGCTAATTGGTTAGGCAAAAGTGGTATGTCATTATACTTTCAAATTGTATTCTCATATTAATGAGGTTAAGCATATTCTCATACGTTTTAAAGCCTTTTGGGTTTTTTTAAAAATCCATTTATATTATATACTCTTCTTTTGCATTGAGTTATTAGAGTATTTTTTTAAATTACTTTGTAGAAGTTCTTTATAAAGTTAACCGGTCTTTTTTGATATAAATTGCTCAGTGTATTTCAAATCCATTGTATGAGTTTAATATATATAAGTCTGTGGCAAGGCCCCCTCCTTTTCCCTAGCCTGGGGAGTAGGCTGCTGGTTAGCATCCTCTAGTCATCTCCAATGGCAGGTGCCTTAGCTCTAGCTTGCTCTATTTTACCTCCTAGTTTACCTAAAGGCAACCATAACGTACCACCTATAAAGCTATTTTTTTTTCCAAAACCGCATAGTCTCTTGTGGGGAAAACACCCTGTAGCGTATTATATACTTGAAAAAATGCATTCCAGTTATTAACATGTCTCTGATTCTACTCCTTACTAAATAATAGCACTGATCCTGTTAGTTAAAGTAAAGGTGCATTCATCTCCTTCCTTGGCTGGTTTTCATTACAAAGGGCCCATTATCTCTGCCTGAGACATTCCAGATAAATGAGACTTAAAAGAATGAATAAGGGTAGATGGGTAGGAGCATAAAAGGATGAGGGGAGGGAAGATGGTGCCACATAAATATCTTTGTTTTGTTGGCTAAGATGCTGGTATATTTCCTCAGTGGAGGCAGTAATTTTCCCTCCTGATAGGTGGGGATGTGGGCCTTTAAAACAGTATAATGTGTATCATCATGTCTTCTGAGCTCATAGGACAAATATTGACTGGCATTATCTGGGATCAAGACTGGGGCTGGGTGTGGTGGCTCATGCTTGTAATCCCAGCACTTTGGGAGGCCGAGGCAGGCAGATCTCCTGAGGTCAGGAGCTTGAGAGCAGCCTGGCGAACGTGGTGAAATCCCGTCTCTACTAAAAATACAAAAATTAGCCAGGTGTGGTGGCGCACACTTGTAATCCCAGCTACTCAGGAGGCTGAGGCAGGCGAATCACTGGAACTCAGGAGGTGGAGGTGGCAGTGAGCTGAGATTGTGCCTCTGCACTCCAGCCTGGGCCACAGAGTAAGACTCTGTCTCAAAACAAAAACAAAAAACCTATGGCCTAAGAAAGGGAATAGTGCCTTTAAAACCTAGTACTTTCTATTGCTGTGCAACAAAATACCCCAAAACTTAGCAGCTAAAAAAGAATACTTTAAATCTTAACAGTTTCTATGGGTCAAGAATTTGGAAGCAGCTTACCCAGGTTCTGCTTCAAGGTCTCTCATGAGGTTGAAGTTAGTATGTGCTCTCTGGGGCTACTGGCATGTGAAGGCTTGACTAGGGCTCAAAGACCTGCTTCTAAGATGACTCTCACGTGGCTGGTGGCAGGAAGCCTCAGTTTCTCACTGGCTGTTGGCAGAAGGTCTCAGTTCCTTACCAAGTGGACCTCTCCAAAGAACTACTGGAGTGTTCTCATGACCCAACTGGTAGCTTCCTCCAGAGTGAGCAATCGGAGACGGAGAACAAGGAAAAAGAATCCACACTGCTTTTCATGCCCTAGCCTTGGAAGTCACACACTGTCACTTCTGCCATTTTCTGTTCACCAGAAGTACATCCCTAAGTCCCCAGCCCACACTCAAGGGAGGGGGAATTAAGCTCTGCTCTTTGAAGAAAGGAATATCAAAAAGTCTGCAGACATATTTTAAAACTTCACACTCAGCATTCCTCAAGAACAATGATCATGGCATACTTTGAACATTATTCTATCACTTGCACTGTATGTATCCATTCATTCCAGAAATATTTATTGTGTTATCTGAATCGCTGTATACCATTTTTCTTATCCATCACTGGAAACCATTATGTTCTAAGAGCCTTATAAAGAATGATATCCTCCTAACGGTGGTCTTTTTCCCTTCTCAGGTATTTGTTGGTTTTCTTCTCATTCTAGCAGCCATAGAGTTGGCCCTTGTACTCACAGAAGACTCTGGACAAGCCACAGTCCCTGCTGTTCGATACACCAATCCAAGCCTCTACCTAGGCACATGGGTAAGACCTATCACCGCTTCTGCCCTGTGTTTCCCTTTTCATTACCCACAGGCATCTAGCTGAAATGTACTCTTTGGGGATGAAATTAATTCCAAGGTCATCTGTCTTTTTCACGGGATCCATAGTGAGGCAAAGCTTGGTTGGAATGGGGTGAAACTAATTTTAGCTTTTCATCTTCATTTGAGCATTAATGTATAGAGCCTTCTCCCTAGGTTAAGTATTAGCTTTCATGACTAAGATGTATATCTTATGTCCACATATCTTGCCATCTAAGGGTCACAGAGGAGAGCTAAGATTCTTGATGTAAAAGAATATTTTAAATGCTGTAAATAGTATTTTTAAATTGATTGATGACTCTAAACAATGGATCAGTGAGCTTAGAGTTTCTATAAACTTGATATCAGAAAACTAATGTCTCTCCTGCAGGCATTTTTTCGGGGGGTGGGCCTAGACAGTGTTTAAATAACACTTTAATTAATTGCCATCAATTCAGTGGCAACTAATGACGCATAATTATTTGAACTTTCAAACTTTATTGAAAAATCAGAATGTCTGGCAATTGCAAACCTACGTTCAGGCAGAGCAGTGTCAGCTGGGTCTCAGTAGCAGTGGTCCCTTTAGACCATGTGCTCGGCACAATCCTCGCTGGGCAAATGTTATAAATCATGTCTCTTTCCCCACCAGAATGCTGTTTTAGGAGCACAGCATTAGGTCTAGGAAATCAACATTTAATTTATTATATCTAAAGTAGATGATATAGGGCAATTTTTTTAAATTAATTGCTTAATCTTATATTAGAAAATCAAGCTACGGACGCCTTGCACCTAATTAATTAGAACCTGTCTTCCGACCTTACTACCGTAACGTCTGAAATTAATTTTCGTGCATCTTGGAAAGGTTTTTCTAGCTCCCAAAGTAACTCCACTAAAATGCAGATAGTGACCTTCTACATTCTTGGCAAGCATCCCACTCAAGTGTGGTCCATAGAGAGAGATGAGGCACTGAAAGAAGAAGCTGGATGTCATGGGGGGGAAATGTTCAACCTAGCATCTGTGTGCTCTCTACCTGGCCAGATTAGTCACGGCAGTCTCCTCCCTCAGCCCTCCTTTCTTTCTTCCCATGTTCTCTGACATCCTTCTCCCCTGAGTCCTCGGTTAGTGGCAGTATTCTTCAGAACATCATGTGAATTTCTCTCCAGCTCCTGGTTTTGCTGATCCAATACAGCAGACAATGGTGTGTACAGAAAAACTCCTGGTTCCTGTCCCTATTCTGGGTTCTCTCAATAGTCTGTGGCACTTTCCAATTTCAGACTCTGATCCGGACACTCTTGCAGGTAAGGAAGAAAGAGTGGATGACACGAGGAGGTACCACGGGGCATCTTCTAAGAGTAAATTACATCAAACTGAGCTCCGGGATCGAATTGTACTACAGGGATTTGATCATAGGCTTTAATCACAAGCAGTGATATATACGGGCCATGTAGACTTCATTTGGACAAAAGGCTCATTTTTTCCTCTTTGTTTTTTTCTTCATAGGGTGACAATTCTAATCTGGCCTACTCCTGCCTGTTCTTCATCTCCTATGGATTCCAGATCCTGATCCTGATCTTTTCAGCATTTTCAGAAAATGAGTCATCAAATGTGAGATTCTAAATATGCCCATCTCATATGTTACTTAATTGGATGATATCTTAATGAATATAACTTTAAGAAGTCTGAGTCTCATGGAGGCCCCACAAGACCATTTTATGACAAGGAAACAGATAGTGATGAGAGTATTAAAATGCTGACTTTTGCTTTCACCTGCCAATTGTCAGCATAGTTAACTCATTCATGTATCTATGCCAGAAAATCTGATTATCATTCTACTAGTGGCTTTAGGGTCTCCAAATAAACACATGTTGATAAGCTGACTTTAACATCATATCTAGTTTCTAGCACAACATTATATCATTAAAAAATCAGTTTCAGATTTCAGAGTCCCATGCAGTTCCTGTCTCCAATTGGTTTACTTTTCAATTTTTTTGTGTCTTTCAGAATCCATCATCCACAGCTTCGTTTCTGAGTAGCATTACCTACAGTTGGTATGACAGGTAGGAAAGCCTGGAGTATGGGTTGTCTGTATCCTTACTCTCTCACTCCTCTGAAAGTGACAGCAAGATTTTTTATTTTATTTATTTATTATTTTTTGAGATGGAGTTTCACTCTTGTCGCCCAGGCTGGAGTGCAATGGTGTGATCTTGGCTCACTGCAACCTCCACCTCCTGGGTTCAAGCGATTCTCCTGCCTCAGCCTCCCAAGTAACTGGGGTTGCAGGTATGAGCCGCCATGCCCAGCTAATTTTTGTATTTTTAGTAGAAACTCCGTCTCAACAGAAAAAAAGAAGAAGTCGTGTGGAGTGTTGCACACCTGTAATCCCAGCTACTTGGGAGGCTAAGGCAGGAGAATCACTTTGAACCCGGGAGGCAGAGGCTGCAGTGAGCCAAGATTGCGCTACTGCACTCCAGCCTGGGCAACAGAGTGAGACTCCTGTCTTGGAAAAACACACACACACACACACACACACACACACACACACACACACAAAACCAAAGATGCCACAGGGGCTGCTTTATTTCTTGAGGGCATCAAGGAGGCCCCCAAGGAGATACCAGAGTGGCAGAGAGGCAGCCAGTGTTTGAGGAGGAAGGAGCAAGAGTAGGGTAAGGTGATGCTCTTTTAGCTCTCTTTCCCTTCTCTTGTCTTCTAACACATTCTGTTGACCCTGTCCGTTCCTTTTTCTGCTCTCCCCACTCCTCTGTCAAGTTCAAAGGGCCAGGAGATGGGGCTAGTCCCATTCTTCTGTCCCTCTATCCCAGAACCTGGAGGTAGGTTCTGAGAGAAGTGGTGGAGATAGCCTCTGACCCAGCCTGGAGGGTCTCACCCTGTGGTTCGCTCTTGTTCCAGCATCATTCTGAAAGGCTACAAGCATCCTCTGACACTTGAAGATGTCTGGGAAGTTGATGAAGAGATGAAAACCAAGATACTAGTGAGCAAGTTTGAAACGCACATGAAGACAGAGCTTCAGAAAGCCAGGCGGGCACTCCAGAAACGCCAGCAGAAGAGCTCCCAGCAGAACTCTGGAGCCAGGCTGCCTGGCTTGAACAAGAATCAGAGTCAAAGCCAAGATGTCCTTGTCCTGGTAACTTTCCCTTGAGTGTCTGTGTGAGCGCGCTGCATGTTTCAGGCAAGAGTACATCAGCATCATGGCGATTCTGTCCTTACATTTTTACAGCACTTCATACTTCTCAGTGCACTGCATATTATTAATGGTATTCACAATACTAATACTACCTTAGTGATGGATACATGGGGTGTAATGTACTGTTCTCTCTCCTTTGAGGTACTTTTGAAATTTTCCATGATGAAATACGGTTTTCAAAAAAATAATACCTTAGCATTTCTAGATTTTGCACCTTGGTACAAATTAGCATGAGCAGCCAATTTGTTGATTCATTCACTTGAAAATATTTATTGAACACAACTGTGTGTCAGTGACCATTCCAGGCACTAAAAGAGTGCTCATCTTTTGAGAGCTAGAAAATATATATTAAGCCCATATATAGGTTACTCTTTGAAAGTAATAATAGCTATTAAGAAAATAAAGCAGTAGTGTATTTGGAGTGAAGTGCGACTTTAGACAGGGTAACAGGGGAAGCTTCTCAGAGGAGGTGATGTCTGAACAGACACTCAAATGATGAGATCAGGCCCTCCGAGGGACAGTCAGAGGGAAGTGTGTTCCAGTCAGAAGGAGCAGGCATGCGAGGCTGAGAGGGGAACACGTTTGACTTACTCAGGGAATGGCAAGAAGATCCAGGAGAGGGTACGCATGGGGTGAGATGGGCTCAAGGAAGTGGACAGGGATTAAGCTGTGTGGACCCTTGTGGGCCACAATAAGGAATCTGGACTTTATCTGAAGGCTGATTGCCAGTGGAAGGTTTTGAGCAGAGAGTAATGAGATTGGATTCATGTTGTAAAGAGCTTACTTGGGCAACTCCCCAGGGGATGGATCGTTGGGGGCAAGAGTAGAAGCTGGAAGGGAAGCCAGGGCAGTTGTCCCAGCAAGGGAGACCCATCGGATGGGACCTCAGTGGAAGACATTGTGAGAGAGTGTCACTGGTAGGCTGAGAAGCTGGAATTTGGGGCAAGATGAGACTCAGGAGGATGTAATGAGGAGGCCAAAGCATAGACAAAGAGGCTGGTGACTGAGTTGTAATGCCGCATGTGTTAGTTTCCCAGGGCTGCCATGATAGAGTACCACACTGGATAGCTTAAAACAGAAATGTACTGTGCCCAGCTCAGGAGGCCAGGAGGCTGAAATCAAGATAGCAGACTTGCTCCCACTGAAACCTGGAGGGGAGAATCCTCTCTTCCACCTTCTAGTGTTTGCCAGTAACCCTTGGTGTTCCTTCACTTCCGGATGCATCACTCTGATCTCTGCCTCCACCATCACAGGACCATCTTCTCCCTGTGTCTGTCTCTTCTATTCTTGTAAAAATACCAGTTATACCACATTAGGGCCCCTGTGACCTCATCTTAATTTGGTTACATCTGCAAAGACCCTATTTCCAAATAAGGGCACATTTTAAGGTACTGGGGGTTAGGGCTTCAACATAGCTTTTGGGGGTAGGGCTACAGTTCAACCCATAACATCTCACAGCAACCACAAGCATGAAAAGAACTGAAAGGGCCTCTCAGCACCATGCCCAGGCCCTTCGCTCTCAGGACTGCCCCTCAGGCCCTCACGCAGATGGGTCTCTGTTTTTACATGGTACTCTTACCAGGTTAGTTGCCTGGTTTTCTAACCCAAAATAGATTACAAGTGTCAATTAGCAGTGGGAGAGTGGATCAGTGCAGGCAGCTAGAAAGGCAGAAGCAACTAGACCAGGGAGAGACGATCAAAACCTGTACATAGAAGGCCACGGGGCTCACAGGCTGACCATCCTGAAGCTGCTCAGGCCAGGAACAGACATAACTCTGTGGACACTGTTGTTTGGTTTTGTACCTAGGATGACATTAAAAAGAAAAAAAAGAAGTCTGGGACCAAAAAAGATGTTCCAAAATCCTGGTTGATCAAGGCTCTGTTCAAAACTTTCTACACAGTGCTCCTGAAATCGTTCCTACTGAAGCTAGTGAATGACATCTTCACGTTTGTGAGTCCTCAGCTGCTGAAGTGAGTCCTCAGGCCTTAGATGGTCCTTTCAGGGCCTCCTCTGCCACCCTCCTTTTTGCCCCGTGTATGCAAGCAGGAGCTTTTCTTCAATTCCCATTTTGTAAAAATGCTCATCATTTTCTTCCACCTTAGCCTTGTGTTCATGAAGACTGCAGGCAGTTTTCAAGATGTATGATGATGTGTACTTTAGCCTCTCTCTTTTCCATGTCTCTCTCCTCACAGGGGGCCGGGTAATCGTTAGGGGCTCTTTCTTGTTAAACTGCTAAGGGCTGAGCCAGGCCCAAGGGGTGGGCAGCATGCCCCTGGAGAGTAACTGACTTCATCTCTCTGTCACAGCCTTCCATGGGCGGTTCGGGTTAATCTTGACAAGACTTCAAAATCTGCCACGATCTATGGAATGAACCACCTGCAGGGAAAAACAGGGACAAAGCATTGCAGTGGCAGCTATGTGGAGCATTTCTTTCGTTATCCATTCTCATAGCCATGGGTTATAAACCCTACACTCTTGCTGCTCATCTCCAAGTAAAAGCAAGAACGCCAGGCTAGGCATGGTGGCTCATGACTGTATCTCAGCAGTTTGGGAGATTGAGGCAGGAGGATTGTTTGAGGCCAGGAGTTTGAAACCAGGCTGGTCAACATAACAAGATCCCATCTCTACAAAAGAGAAGAATTAGCTGGATGTGATGGCACATGCTTGAAGACCCAGCTATTTAGGAGGCTGAGGTGGGAGGATCACCTAAGCCTAGGAGCTCGAGGCTTAATGAACTATGATCCTGCTACTGCACTCCAGCCTGGACAACAGAGCAAGACCCTGTATCAAAAAGAAAACAAAACAAAAAGGACACTGGTGAAACTGTGGAGCTTAGGTCTTCCAAAGGCTTTGGACAATTCTGGTCACTTTTGTTACCTACAGTATAAAGGTAGCATAGTCTAGCTGGCTGTGCACGAGGAGAGAGGTGTCCTTGGAGGCCTTATGGATATAACTAACTTGGCTTTTCTCTGGCAGATTGCTGATCTCCTTTGCAAGTGACCGTGACACATATTTGTGGATTGGATATCTCTGTGCAATCCTCTTATTCGCTGCGGCTCTCATTCAGTCTTTCTGCCTTCAGTGTTATTTCCAGCTGTGCTTCATGCTGGGTGTAAAAGTACGGACAGCTATCATGGCTTCTGTATATAAGAAGGTAAGCAGAATATGGCAGGTATCACCAAAGAAAATCCCCTCAGTAAATATGAATATTGATTCCAAGGTTGAGGAAAATGTGATGGAAATGATAACTCATCTCAACACTTAATTTTGACCATACAGCCTCCGTTAGATGTTTCTTTGGAAATTAGATTATGAGAAGTGTTCACAAACAATGGGTGGAGAGGCCAGGAGGGAAAAGGTACTCCCCAGGGAGAAGCTTGCAAGCTGTTCTGGTCCTCAGGATCCACCTTGTAGCCCTGAAGGCTTGGCTACCCATCCACCTCTTCCTGCGTCTCTTGACAAGGTAAAATGCCTTGGAAAAGAATATAAGGTCAGAAAAGAAGCTGGTGAAGGGTCAAACTCTTAAAACCACCAACATTCAACTCAAATACTTAATGAAACCCAGCTCAGAGACCTATTGTATCCATCTCAAATTGCAATCTTGCCAGAGCTCCATCTCCCCAGACCAAATTTCACCTAGCAACTTCTTTTTCTAACCTTTAGCGCTAACCCAACCCTCCTCTACCTGACTTCTTTTTTCAATTTGTAAATACATTCATGCTGATTACTAAGTTCTGCAGACCTGGAAGCTTTTTCTTTTCCTTAAGATGATTTTGTTCATCTTCCCTCTGATACATTGGTTTTTTTTGTTGGTGGTGGTGGTGGTTTGTTGTTGTTTCTGTTGTTGTTGTTGTTATTGTTGTTTTTGAGACGGAGTCTTGCTCTGTTGCCCAGGCTAGAGTGCAGTTGTGCAATCTTGGCTCACTGCAACCTCCGCCTCCTGGGTTCAAGTGATTCTCCTGCCTCAGCCTCCTGAGTAGCTGGGACTACAGGCACATGCCACCATGCCCAGCTCATTTTTTGTATTTTTAGTAGAGGCGGGATTTTACCGTGTTAGCCAGGATTGTCTCCATCTCCTGACCTCATGATCCGCCCACCTCTGGGATTACAGGCATGAGCCACAGCGCCTGGCCGATACATTGTTTTTGAGGGTTAACTTTCTCAAGGCAACTGTATGTTCCTCATGCCCTCCATACCAAGATGAAGTCCCATTTTGTTCCTTAAGAAATGAAAATACAGTAGTTATGATCAGTGACTACAGACTTGAGGAGAAAATTCATCCCTGAGGAGATAGGTTCCAATTTTTTTATAGGTTGGAACACTAGTTGACTCTCTTCCGTTTTTTATTCCATCACGGCAAAGTTCCATCGTGGTGACTTCTCTATTACAGTTCCTACTTTTCTCCTTTGCTTTCCTCTCTAGAAACAACACTTTGTCTTTGTCTTCCCTGAGTAGATGTTGGCTCGTTGAGAGACAGTGGCAGATAATCCAAGTGTCTTTAGATCAGAAGTCTGGTCACGTCCTTTGAACTCCCAGATACCCCCCTACTGGAATTTGTCTTCCTCCAGTTGATTTTTACAATCTCCTTATTCCTTCTGGAGATACTGAGTTTCTGCTGGTTTACAGGTTATGAGGTCACTAACCAGCCTATTTCAGCCATTGCTAGTAAAGTACACTTCTACAATTTTTTCATAATTGTGATTATTCATTCACACTATTTTGATTCTTAATATTCCAGGTTTTGCAACTGTTACAATCAATAAAGAGATTTATAAAATAGAACCCTCAATGATACTTTTATTCAAATAAATATCACTATTAGAAGAGTGGAAGAAAATTACTAATTTATATGTTTAGACAATGCTTCACTACTTATGAAACATTTTTTACATTTGCTATCAATTCACAGGGCTATTGCCCTGTGAAATAAGTACATTATCCCTATTTTATGGAGAAAAATAAGGCTTAGATAATTTCAATGCCTACAATCACAAAGCCAGGAGTTGTCCCCAGACAAGGGCTACTGGGACTAAATTTATTTATTGATTGATTTTTTTAAATTATTATACTTTAAGTTCTAGGGTACATGTGCACCATGTGCAGGTTTGTTACATATGTATACATGTGCCATGTTGGTGTGCTACACCCATTAACCCGTCATTTACATTAGGTATATCTTCTAATGCTATCCCTTCCCTCTCCCCAACCCCACAACAGGCCCAGGTGTGTGATGTTCCCCATCCTGTGTCCAAGTGTTCTCATTGTTCAATTCCCACCTATGAATGAGAACATGCAGTGTTTAGTTTTCTGTTCTTGCAATAGTTTGCTCAGAATGATGGTTTCCAGCTTCATCCATGTCCCTACAAAGGACATGAACTCATCCTTTTTTATGGCTGCATAGTATTCCA